ATGAACAAATAAATAAATCTTAAAAAAAAAAATAAGCAAAGTAAAAGTTGTTCACAGAAGCAGAAATACAGAGCTGTAATATCCTTTTTTCCTAGTAAAAGTGTGTGACCTTGTATCTCATAGGCCTCATCGCTCTTTTTAGGGCTAAAGTAAGCATGCTTTGCCCACTCTCTGGTGTCATGTGAGCTCAGTTTTAGTTTCCTGATGGTTTCCTAACAAGGGCAGTGGAAACAGGAACTTGGGCATAACACGTAATTGGACAGCATGGCTTCATGCTGGTGTTGACAATCCCCTCGGCCAGACAGGACTTACGTACAAACTGCTGGCAACCTCCCAACACCTTCTGTTGGGTCCTGCCACCCACCCTCCATCCCTTCCTCCTCAGCCTTCATAACTGTATTTTCATGAGCACCTCAGAGTATTTCTCAGCCCCAGTTCCTGTCTTGACCCACTGACCTAAGAATCAAGAACATGTCATGTTGTTGCCTACTAATTAGCGTGCCCAGAGCGCCTCTCCTCTGGCCTTTCACCTTCTGGAGGTGGGAACACAAGCTGTCACCCGGATCACGCAGGGAAAATGAATCTTTACTACATCTTCCCTGTTTTGCAAACAGCAGGATCAGCTCAGCTGAGACTAGAGATGAATATGCAGGTTAGGAAGGAATTAGCCCAAAATGCGCGAGCGTTTGCTGGCAGATGTCATAGGTGACGCCGCCCTTGCCCTCCTCGAAAAGCCCACATGGAAGCCCCGCACCTGGGGTTTTCCCTGATCATTATTGCATCCAATTTTTTATTTCAATACCTTTATATTCACCTGGCGAGACATTGTAAGGGAAGAATGTTCTCTGATTAAAAAGTGAAGCAGCATTTTAGCGCATTGAACTTGGTTGTTTTCAGACATGTTTCCGAGCAGTTTGTTAGTGAGCTTCCGGCTGTGCTCATTAATCAGTGCTGTTGGGCCGGGGTCTCCTGAGCTTTCTCGGTTTGGGGGGATCAGCTACTGTAATTAAGGGGATGAAATAGATCATGGTCACAAACTTCCCACCACAGACAATCGAGGGTTTTGAACGGGTCGAATTAATCTTTTTAATTTTTTTCCTTAGGTGTTTAAGATAGAAGTGCTAATGAATGGAAGAAAACACTTTGTTGAAAAAAGGTACAGCGAATTTCATGCCTTGCATAAAAAGGTAACTTTTTTTTTTTTTTGGCTTTTCTCTGTATGGCAGATGGTGTTGTGTTAAGACTCCTTTCTTTGGTACCCCAGAACACGAGTATTTCTTAGGACAGTAAGAGTTCTTTTAGCGTACAGTAAGTTTCCTCTTACCATTAAACATACAGTCCCTTACAGCTATGTTTTCTATTAAAATCTTACATCAATAGATGTGAGATATAGAGCAGTGGGTGCTATAGGGTCAGAAAGAGTAGGACCCAGAGCCTGTTTTATCCATGAACTAGTCTCACTGTCTTTAGGAAAGGGTGAGAAAATGCAGATGACCACTTTATAGAGAGAAATACATTAAATTCAACCTATACTTACATGTGCCTGACAGAGACTGTAAGTGTATCCCAGGACTGTTTGGGAAGCACAGAAATTGCGAGTATGGCCGAGTGAACTCAGGGGGCCGCGTGAACTCAGGGGGCCACATCCCAAAGACTGCAGTGTCTGTCAGTCCTCTCGTCTGTTTCATTACAAGTCTGAGATAAAAGAAATAAGAGTTCAAGAGAAGAGCTGAGGTTTTGGAGGAATGGCCAGTAAAGAGTAGAGGAGTGCATACTTTTTTT